GACAGGTCCTTGGAGAGGGACATCATGCTTGGTAGGGTGGAGGGACGGGGCAGGAAGGGAAGACCCTCTATGAGGTGGATTGATTCAGTGACAGGCTAGAGCAGGGTTTAGGGCTGTTGTACATAGGGTTGCTATGAGTTGCAAACGACTCGACGGCACATAAAAACAACAACAATTGCACAGGAGAAGAATGGCCATCTTTTTTTCCATGTAGTCATTGGTGAGTTCGAATTGCCAGAGAGATATGAGCTTCGGATTAGTAGCACAGATTGCTACATCAAAGGTTTAGTGTGTTGGTTGGTTTTGTTGGTTGTTTTTTGTTTTAACTCATTCACTGTTGCACATACTGGTCCCCCTTTCTCCTCTCCCGGATCACTTTGCAGTGCACCCCTTGTTCCAGATTTTTGTCATACAAATAATGCCTTATTTTCAGACAGTTCTTCCCTTCATCTGTTTTAAAGCAGTGTTCATTATCCACTCTTTTCCTATTCTCTCCCCAAGCCCCCGCCACAGTAAGCTGCACTGCAGTCCTGAAGGTGCGCGGTTCAAGTCCATCAGATGCTCTGCTGGAGAAGGAGGGGCAATTTCCTCCCGTGCCAGTTGGATCCAACGTCTCTATGGATCCAGTGTGTTTTACAAAGCTGTTTTACAGATTCATGGAGCCACCATCATCACATCAGTATATAAAACCATTTCAACCCAAACTGGATGTAAAACTATTTTAACCCAGTCCCCTTCATGCTCCCTTTCTTAGCTCACACCCTCCTGTGTCCTGTAGTGAATGATTTATCTGGGTATCTGAGGTTGATCATTTAGAATGTCTAACTGGCCAGTGATCAACTGTTTATTTCTTGGCGAAGTATTTTTTGTATTAAGTAAAGAGGTTTTGAGTGGGCTCATCTGAATCCTCTTGAGATTTATATAAGCTATGGGATCTCAGTGCTGACTGTCTTTGTTCTGGGACACCTGCCTTCTGTGGCTCTGATGCTCACCAGCCTGCATACCTACAGTCATTGGAGTCCTTCCCCTGGCGGATCTGAGTCCCTAGGAGCCCTCCCACCCAGCGAACCACAGAACTCAAGGACAGAGCAGCTATAGAACTGAACAAAGGAGAGGCTGTCAGAAATCATGGACTTAGACAGCTGATCAAGCTTTTGGGGAAAAGCTGACGTGACACTTCTTACAGCGGGTCTGCAACTAATCTTAGATTGAATTGTGATTACAACTCGATACTTCCTTTTGCAACTCTTACAAACCCTGGGTCCCCCCCAAAGGCGACTGAACCTCTTGTTGCCAAAGTCAAAGAAGATGCAGTCCGCCCTTGTGATGGGGCTGTGTAACTAAGGTCGATGGAACACTACCCAGACGGGGCCACTTGGGGAAAGTGCAGCCAGGGTGCTTTTCAGAGGCCCAGGAGGTGAAACAGAGAGAGAGGCATCGTGCTTAGAAAGTGGGGAGTCAGTGGAGAAGAGGAAGACCCCCCATGAGATCTATTGTCACAGTGACTCCAGCAATGGGATAAAAAAAAATTTTTTTTAAAACATTTTACTTCGTGTGTGTATGTGTGCTGTCAAATCAGATCTGACTGGTACAGGAGGAGATTGTCCCTCCTTCCCCGGCAGAGCATCTGGTGGGGATAAAAAATATTTGAGATGATGAAGATGACGTAGGCGAGGGCAGGGTTCAGATCTGTTGTTCACCGGGTTGCTACAGGTCTTAGATCACTCAAAAGCACGCTTGCAACATAGA